AAAACCAATATTCTTACAATAAAAATATATGTATTATAGATCCAACTATTTCCAAATTGCCGCTTCAAAATAATAGGTATTTTGTAACGGATAGATCTTATTTTAGCATTAAACAATTTGTTTATATACCGACAGCGTAATATCATTATTTGTGGTTTAATCTTCCCAATGAAACCGGTAAAATAAGTCAACACATTTTCAAAGCAATATTTAATTTGAATTCTCTCATCTTATTGTAATTGTATTTGTTATTAGAAATTCATCAAAAACCTCTTTAGAATTCGAATTAATAACACAACTTCGAGTAGTGCTTGTATAAACATAATGACATTCATTGATACAAATTTAATCATTTCGAGTAGAACTACTAAGAAATACCTATATGTAACGCTTGAACTTACAATTAATTGACCAAAAATACTCAAACCAGTCGAATTCACAATCAACTGGCAGAATCCAATATCGTCAAATAATCAGGAACCATGAAATTTATGAAAAGGTTGAGAGTACATAGTAGTGGAGAAGTATACCTTTTGTATTGCTGTTGTAGTTAGTAGTTTCCTTTAAGGCAAAGGGATTTTAGTCCATGTAATTCATAAAAAACTTTTCATATATAGGTACTACTCATTTGTCATTCATGACACTTGTAAAACTTTTGTTATAGTATGAATTTACCAATATTGTAATTTTGTGAAGGAGTATATGAACTACTTTGAGTATATTTACTAAATAAGTATATATCAAAGAATTAATATTACATTTGATAGTCTGTTGTTTTAAACTTTCGTGGTCATTAATTTTAGAATGATTGTTTGAACGCAGCAATCCCGTATTAAACAATCATTCTTATCTCACTAAAATCTGACAACGGATAGACTATTTGGTGCCATATTTAAAACTAAAATTAGTCATATTTATACCTAACTTTGGTTTTTTAATATCCGAATAAGTCCAAGAATAAAAGTAACAATTTTGTTTTACCACATTAACTTTCCATAGTTACATACAGAAATTATTTTTGATCTGAAAAATGTATGTTGTCTTTAAATATATAATTGCTTTTCTCGCAACAGCTTTCCGTATGTGAAAAAATTTTCATGATCAGACCAGTATTTCCATAGATTACTCCCTATTAACATAAAAACTTGACCTCTTTATAATAATAGTATAGATACAATACAATACGATATAATATAAATATTCACAAAATGAAATCGGAATAACAGTATATAAAGTAGGAGACAGTAGTATATGAAAACAGATATACTTATTATTTAAAATATAGGAAAAGCAAAGAAAAAAAAGAACACCATGTAAGATAAAAATCAAGTATAGATACAATAACAATAAAAAATTATATGTATAATTAATACACACGAGCAAGATCATATCTATAAAGAGAGAAGAAATTGAAGAAACTAATAAGCAAGTGATAAATAGTGATCCCTTACCATGATTTTAAAAGATTTTGGAGTTTTAGCTTGTCTGATACACACCGGGAACGCATTGCATAGACGAATGGCTTGTACTGTAAAGGATTTGTCATAAAACTGAGAAGAATGATGTGGCATGTTAAGCAGAAGAGTATCAGCAAATTATTATACAGAAGATGTAGAATATGAGATTCCCGGCGTAGTCTAATGAGCAATCATTTCAGATCTCTGCGCTAGATAGAGACATTATCGTATTTATGTAAGTCATTCATGAAACGAATGCAGTAATTCTGGAGACGTTCTTAATCATCCAGTTGATATAACATTTTATAGAAAATAAACTAGGAAAAACCGTCAGTTATATACTATTATTATTGATATGTGAGCGGCGGTGACAGATGTTCACTCTTTTATCCTTTCTTTAGCCTCTTTTAAATTCCACGACACGAACTACTTATCTAAACGTGGGGAGGATGGACAAACACTTACCATTTCATAAAACGCAGACGAACCGTAGTATCAAGTATAAATCATTATCCGACTAAAATAAGTCAACATGTCTCAATTTAAAGTTTTCTCTTCTGTCATTGTCAATTTGCTTTGGGCGGCTAATAGTTTAAACCAGTTGTTCCCCATTTGGGGGGGGGGGAGGGGTAAGAGACGGAGAAAAAAATTGAATAATATATTTTCTTATAATACCTATCTGGTGAATTGAGGGCAGTCCTAGCCTCCTAACACCGCGAAACTGTTTGTTGGGCCATAGGCCCATCTATGTTTTGAGATACGGATCCTTGGTAACTACCTCGGGCATAAAAATTAAACTCTGTAAGAGTAAAAAAATATGAAATGCATAATAGTAGTCATGCAATTTTTTTTATCAAGAACTACGATAAAATTCCAAACGTGTTGGGAATATTTGTTATATTAAGGCTATTTCGAAGCCGCCGCCGGTTTCTTCTACGGTCTTAATTGTTCTTCACTGAGAGCAGACTCGATTAATAGTACCTAATATAGAACCCATTTTGAAAATAAAAAATTGCAAACGAAAATGAAAAGGTAACATTTTTTACTTCGTCAATTCGAGGTTAGAATTCCGAACAATTAGATGTCAAATTCAAATGTTCATTTCGTTATTTCGTGAAATAGAGTAGGTTTAGAAAATAAATATGTCAAACTATTTTCGTTCGTTGAATATTCGGAACGAACGTCATTGTAGTAGTATTGTAACGTCCGAAATTTCGAACGAAATTTCGTTTTTCGGTGAATTAGAGTAGGCTTCCTGACCTACTCGCTTTCTCGAAAACGAAATTTCGTTTACGAACGAAATTAAAACGAAATTTCGCATGGAACGCTACTCTTTATCATTTTCGTATACACCAACGAATGTTCGTTTCCAAAGACAATTTTCGTGATCGATTGGAGTAAATGGCGTTATTGGATTTCTTATAATGTCAAATTCCAGTTTTTACCGTAACTTGAAATATATAATATTAAACAATACATATATTTCTTTTAAATTAAATTTTAGTGGCTGAACATTGTTTAAACATAAATTATTATAATAATATAACGAAAAACTTAGTATATTAATGAATTTTATTTTTCGTTACAACTTATCAAGAACTATAAAGAACTCTTTTATCCTCAGTATTGACCGACATATTTAAAAACAACCTTTCATTTATACGATGGCTATAATCAACGTATGGCAATCTTAAATATCCGTATAATACAAACGATTCTCATCCCGCCAAAAGTTTTACAAGTTTTCACCAAACTGTTCAGTGTTTACTAATATTTTATTTAATTATTGTGAGTTCCGAAATTTATCTTGACAATTCAGTAAAAAACTTTATAAGTAAGTATGAAAGTAATATTTAGTTTTTCGGCACAAAAAAGGTTTTTAGTAATAAATTTACTTTTTATCAGTCATATTTTTCAGGTATAATAAAGCCTATATGCCTCGTAAAATCTATAATATTAATGACATAATTCTATAGGTAATTATTCACAATTCATACATAAAGCCAAAATAAACAATAAACTTTTAGGTACTCACTGTCTCTTAATAAGATTCCTTTCATTTTGGTTTTGAGGGAATAATATATTTTCTTTTAATACCTATCTGGTGAATTGAGGACAGTCCTAACCTCCTAACACCGTGAAACTGTTTGTTGGGCCATAGGCCCATCCATGTTTTGAGATACGAATCCTTGGTAACTACCTCGGGCATAAAAATTCAACGCTGTAAGAATCATAAAAATATGAAATGCATAATGGTAGGCATGCAATTTTTTTATCAAGAACCACGATAAAATATCTTCCAAGTTTAATTGGCAGCAGCAGTTTAATGGCATGAGATCTTGCCTGTGGACGCAGTAAAGGTATAATCTATTGGCATAGTTCTTGAAATAATTCACAACTGAGTCTGTAAATACTTACAAACTCAGTATCGAGAATATTTCTTATATTAAGGCTATTTCGAAGCCGCTGCCGATTTCTTCTACGGTCTAATCGTTCTTTACTGAGAGCTGACTCGATTAATAGTAATATAGACCCCATTTCGAAAATAAAAAATTGCTAACGAAAATGAAAAGGTAACATTTTTTACTTCGTCAATTTGAGGTAAGAATTCCGAACAATTAGATGTCAAACTCAAATGTTCGTTTTGTCATTTCGTGAAATAGAGTAGGTTTAGAAAATAAATATGTCAAACATTTTCGTTCGTTGAATATTCGGAACGAACGTAATTGTGGTAGGAAACGTCCGAAATTTCGAACGATATTTCGTTTTTCGGTGAATTAGAGTAGGCTTCCTGTATAAATTATTCGACGACATGAATGGCCAACTGCAAGGCGATGAGCTAAATTTAATTAAATCAAAAAACGTCGTTGCTGCTTTCATAGCCAAACTGCTTCTACCCAAAAAGAATATTGGCAGACGCGAAATCACAATGAAAGAATATTACTCAGTTTTCCGAATTTGTATCTGTTATATCTGTAGTAACAACAATTTATTTGCCTACTGCCAACATTGAAAATATCTGACTGGGTGTTGGATCCGTTTAAACAGCATCAGATTCAATTATGTTTATTTTACTTTGAATAAAATATACTCTGTTTGAATACTATACAGTTGCGTTTCATAATCATTTTCTTTGACAGGTGTAGCTTCATGTGATACAGCATGGCGACAGACGGACGGACGAACAGCTAAGTTTTAGTAATAGGATCCCGTTTTACCCTTTGTGTGCGGAACCCTAATAAACGATGTAATATATCTGAATTATAGTCGTTGTAACTGTCTTCTGTACTTTGTAGTGTACAAGGAAGTAACTTGCATTGTTCTTTATAACCGAAAGCAAAATAAAATAGACTATGCAATAAAGTTGTGTTACTGCTTGCAAACAAAGGTGAAAGCTTTATCGTCAACTTTAAACAAAAATCATTAATTTAAATTTCTCTCTTACTAATATCGAATATGGATTTCTATATCTGAAATAAAATTAATATTATTACAAAAAAAAAATAAGTTCAGAATAAAAAACTATTTCAGAATAACAATCTATTTATTACTTTCAATAACATCACGTATCCATTTCCTGTAGTGTTTCAATGATGTATAATTAACGTTCCTATCGTAGCAGATTCCTCTATCAAGGGGATTACCATTACGCAATCCTTGTAAATGAAGATGATTGTCAGCTGATATTGTCACGTACAATCCACCGTAACTTGGACAGAGGGCCACATCTGGAATTACGCACATAATCAACTTATAGAAAAAAAAAACTAGTCTAATTGTGAATGAAAAATTTATCAAATATAATAATTGGAACAAATTTTTATTTTAATCACAAGTTTGAAATATATATTTTCGGCTGTTTGGATGAATTACCTAAACATTTGATGAAAAACACGCACCCAATTAGCGAAAAGTGATAAATGCTTGAAAAATTCGTCAATATTTTTTCAACCATTTATCTACTATCACTAAATCAAATTTTAAAACTTAAACGGGATGAAAACCAAAATTAATTAAGAATATCTGTGAAAACCCTATTACGTTCATAGGGTTTGTTTGGCGGCTGTTAAGACTGGGACTAACAGCCTTATTTTGAATATTAAGAATTACACCATAATAGCAGTTAAAGTTAAGGTTTAAGTCAAATTGCACAACAACTGTCACGGCGTGACATACCGCGGTTCATGTGACCCTCCAGCGTGACAGTCACGCTGATTTGAACATAAGCCGCGGAATGCGCTGCACCATCCTTTTTCTTGGCAAAATAATAACTTTAACCAGAGATGCTTGGACGTGTGTCATCTAATCATTCCCTAATGTTGCATCTGATTATTTGCTTATACGGTACTTTAACTTGTTAGTTGTTATTCTTTATGAAAAAATTCTTGTAGCCGACGCGAGTTTCGCAGTAAATATTAGTCCAAATTACAACGAAAACGACATAGTTTCAGAGGGGAAAAAAATTAATAACCTTTGAGTTTATAGAAATTACAAACTAAAAAACCCAAAAACAAAACCCGAAACGTCATTAGAACTCGTGCTATTAAACCTCTATGCTATATTTTATTTTTTTAAATATATTGAAATACTCGCGTCGCTAACAATGCTTAAAGAATCCACCAGCCTCAGGTGCTCTGAGATGGCACCGGAATTTACAATCTTTTGCAATCTGAGCGACTGCTCTAACCTCTGAGCTATCCAGGATTTAACATGAACGACGAATTTTTTTAGTTAATAATATTTTCCAGGAATGGAAAATTGATTAATATAATAATTATTTATTATTTTTAAAATAAGTTCGTGCAACCGAGACTTAGTATTTTAATTATTAATGAGATCAGCTCGGTGACGTAGTGGATAAACGCCTCGGCCCGCAATCGTTGTTGTTGACCAACTTTCTCAAGAGTCGGCCACGAGATGGGTGGCCAAAAAAGTACTATCTCGAGCTAATCCGTTCTTCGGGAGACACTTTAAGCCGTTGGTCCTAGCAGCATTTGCAATCGTTAATACCCTCCATTCCGCATTGGGCCAGCGTGGAAGGTCATGCCCTCCATTGCCCATCCTCCTTAACCATCCATAAGAAGACCTGAGCCCAGCAGTTGCGACGTAATAGGGCTGATGATGATGAACCAAAATCAGGTCTTTAACAAAAATATTCGAAAATTAACGAACGCAATGTACAATTTCTTCTTCAAATAAATTCATTTTAAAGAATGTACGCTTACAAACAATACAACAAACATATTATTTTTGATATTACAACTGAACTGTACAACAAATATGGCATACACAACATCTGGAACTTAATTTAAGTTGCGAAACTCTAGTCTTTTTTAATAAAACTTCTTCTTTCAAAGGTAGTATCTACATGAACGGAAAAATAAACCAAAGTTTTGAACACTCGTATCTATAGTCGAGTAAAACTGATTACTTGAATGATAATAATAAGTTAAGCAAGTATTTTTAACCAATAGATAAGAATTTGAATGAAGTGAAAATTGTCAATAGCTAATATTATTAGATTTTTTATTTTTCAGAGTTCCAACTTGAAATTCTTGGTTAATTGTTAAAAATATTTGCTTATTATCACTTTTAGTCAGTCAAGTTATTACTTTTACTCGACTGTAGATAGAAGGGTATTACAAAATTTGAAAGCTGCCTGCAAAATTAAGAAAAATTACTCCGTAATAGGGAATACACGATCTGTGATAATTTCAACTGTTTGACTATAACGGTTGAGCCGGGTGACAAACGGATGGACAGCGAATTCTTACACTCGTATATATAGTTGAGAGAAGTAATTACTTGAGAAAATGGCATAACTTAAGCAGATATTTATAACCAATAGACGAGACTGTTAACAGTTCTTATGTTATTCTAAGTCTTGTTTATGTGTTAAAATATTTGCTTAATAATTACTTTTGCTCAAGTAATAATTTTTACTCTATTTTAGATACCGGTGTTAATAATAGGGTCCCATTTTATCCTTTGAGAACGGAACCCTAAAAAACTACAGCTTAGTTAATTGTTCCAGTAGGTCGAGAAATACGAAATAGAAACTAAAACATATTATAAAAATTTGGAAACCTACTTCAATATTCTTCTAACATTACACAGTTTTTGGTATTTGAATTTCAATTGTGATATTTTTTTATACATATGTGTCTTCATAATTTTTATGAAAGTAACTACGCTTAAAATAACCAAGTAACAATATCAAATTATACAAAATAAGTGTAATATCCAATAGGCATTTAAAACGGCTTCACTCCGACTCCTAAACAAGAAATCCTCAGCGTTATCTCAATGATAAAATACATAAAAGAGACGTTATTTCGTAAACAAACATAAAGCCATTATTCCAGCTTTATACGGGCCTAAAATAAAAACAAAAAATAAATATGTCGCGGACATTCTCACCATTGCGGTAAGTGGCACAAAACGTATTTTCCACTTTATTATCCTGCCCACAAGCTTTACTTTTCTCTTTATCGAAATATATGAGTGTCAAGTCCCCTGAAAAGCTCCATGCAGTAGTCTGAAAGAAACAAAAATATTTCTTTTGTTAGCGCCTAATGAAACCGACATAGCAAACATTTTGCCCACTAGAAATGTCCGTGGTGAATGTTTTTGTTGTATGTTGTGATGAAGCTTTGATAATCATGTAAAACAAAGTGTTACTTTTTAATTTAATTGCAGTAACAACACACCCACGCTACAGTAATATTTTTACTTAGTATTTTTATTTGTATTCCGTTCGTATCTCGACACGAAAATAAAAAGTAAACCCACCTACCTAATAATTGAAAATTAGAAGTTATACGTCTGTAATATATACGAGTATTTATGTATAAAGAAATTTACAGTTTTCGTTACTCATTAAAAAATCTTAGGGCCAAGACAACGGATTTAAAAGCGGTTTTGATCAATAGAGGGGACCCCCCAGTCAGAGGAGAATCCTTATTTCTGACATTTATTATTACACAATTAGTAAAAAAAAACACTATATGCGATTAATTTGCCACGGGCCTCAAACAGTATAGTTACGCCACTGAATATACCCGTAGATAAAAGAATTTATAAAATCGATCCAGTTGTTTCGGAGCCTATTCAATTCAAACAAACAAACAATCAAATCATTCCTCTTTATATTATTAGTATATAAAGGACCACGTCACTGAAGCTGCTAGTCCTGTATTATACATTTTGTTTTTGTAATAAGCTACTAGCAATACTTATTTTTTTTGTTACTTTATATAAGTGTCAAAATATCTTTATAACTTAATAGATACTATGATTATAAAGAGGAATGATTTGATTGTTTGTTCTGATTTGTTTAGACCTATTTCAAGAATTCTTTCTACATCTACACGAAGCTACATCATACGCGAATAACATAGGTTATAATTTACTCGGGCGAAATCGTTGAAAAACAACTAGTCTCATTTCCCATATAAACTGAGGCAAATTGTACTTACTATAGCTTCTTTACTGTTCTCTTCAGATTCAGTTGTTTCTTCGTCACTTTTCAAACATGCTGTCGCCAAACCATCGACGAGTCCCACCGTCTCTTCCAGAACTAACACGGCTAGATCATTTGTAGCTTTACCTTCTGTTACTGTATAATTTTCATGGCGTTTAACAGCTTTCACCTGTGGTATAAAAAGTAAAATCGTGAAAAATGCTTCATACAGTTTTCCGACTGTGTTGTTATAAAAGTTTAAGGACCTCAAGAACCTGAAAATACAAAATGAAATACACACCAAAGCCGACCCACTGATAAAGCCATTTTGTATTTGGCCAGCCCCGCCGTGTGCGGATTGGTCCCATATATATTAATATGGCAATGATTATATTAAACCCATCCCACGTGTCGAGCAAATAAATTTATGAAAGCAGTCGCCAACACGCAACCGCGCGTACCGCTCATCGACTCAAATGAATGAATGAATTATTTATTCTGGTACAAACATGAGACAAATAGATACAATTTTCAAGATACAAATTACAATAAAATAATTAAAATTCAATAACATATATGCGATTGCGTCTCACATATACACAAAAAATAGGTCTCTAATCCAGTTATGTCAGACTGGTAACTTGACGCTGGTTTTACATTGCCACCTGTATTTTTCCCTTTTTCTACACAAGGTTGTAAATGAATACTAAAATAAGTAACTTAAAACATCGTAGGTGATTAGTGGTTTTAGTTCATGAAATTTTTTACCGTTACTCAATATATTTTTGATAATTACAAATCACAAGCAAATAAGCATATAAAGAAAAATATTTAGATTTGATCTTTAAATAATTAAGATACATTTAATATAAACAATTAATCAACCCGTTATTGTAAATTAAAAATAAATCATTATAAAACATTACTCGGTTATAATGTTAAATGTTGGAGTCCTTGTAATTTAACTGAGAAAAAATTCCCCATCTAGACCCACTGACAAAAATTTGCCGACATACGTCAGAGGGTACGCTTAAGACGAGGCAGCAAATTAAAATGTTTTAGGATAGGATAGTAAACTATAGTTTTTAATTTTTTTTTTTAATGTGTATAGGTATATAACCTCAACAATCAATGATAGAAGATTTGGATTCCAGAAATATGTCAAAATTACTTCTGTACGTCAATCTTTATCCAAATATAAGCTTATAATTCGAGATATCTATCGTGTGATAAGTACAATGTAAGGGCGTAAGGATTTAGCGATAATTTGTTGAGGGCATTGTACTCAAAGGCCCGTCATTTATCAGTAATAGCCAATGAAACGTCTATTCCTTTATAAATCGAATGCTAGAGGTCTACTATCCATTCACGATACCTGTGCAGTAGCGTAATTAGGGACGTCACACATTCTAACGGTGAACTTGCGAAATATGAATTGTTTAATTAAAAATCTTTCACAATATTCACAAACTTCACGCTACAACTACGACATGTCAAATATAAAATAGAAGCAAATACCTTTGAAAGCTATGGAGTAATATCAAACGAAAAAGTTGGCAAACAGTCAGAAACGGAAACAACCCATAGAATTATGTTTGTGCATAACGACTACTATGTCCAAAGAACACATGATAAAATTCGAAAGTTGAATTAGACAGATGGTTTCACGAACTTCCTATCTTTTGAAGAATGTTTCTGAGTGAATTTGAAACTTTGTTTTACGGGCGTAGAGGGTAAGCCCCTGTTTTTAATGGAAGCAATGCATATTTATATTATCACGATCGTCTATTCGTTAACTTTGTAGATAGTAATTTAATTTTCATTAAATGTAGACAAACGCTTTTACAGTTAATAATCTGATCACAGAGAATTATGTTCAAATGAATTTAAAAATAATGACAAATATTTCGAAATTGAAAACTATAAATATCTAATAATAATAAATATATATAATTAATAACGAATCGTTTGCGAATTTTCAATATTCCAATGCTTTTATCGCAATTCAGAAGTTCAATTTTATTTGTTTATTAACTTTTGGCGATGAAATTACTGAAACTTTATACTTACCACAATAACTATTGTAGTACTTATGAAAAAAATTGTAATAGTATAACACTACAGTAGTAACTTTAAGCCTATGTGGCGGTAATAAAGCTACCAAGCCATGTATTTTGACTAAGGTGAGCTGCAGAGTATCTTAAAGTTAAGTTGTAGAGTTAGAAGCTTGGCTCTACATTATATCTGAAAACTTTTTGACAATGCAATCCATATGGTGGCGTCTTGGCAATATTTTATATGATATTATTTTTAGTGGGATTGTAAATTCAAGATCCATTTAATCATTCATCAAGGAGCTCGATGGCTTAATGGTTAGCGCGCTCAGTCTGCGATACAGTTATCAAGCAACTTTCGCAATGGCCTGTCATAGGATTGGCGACTAAAAATTTATCATCTCGAGGTCCTTTATGTTTTGGAAGGCACATGAAGTCGTTGATCCCAATAGCGGTCGTTAACACCCACCAATCCGCATTGGGCCATCCATCATAGGGAAAGCCTAAGCCTCAGCATTGGGGACGTTAATATACTGGTGATTATGTTGATCATCTTGAATAGTTGGCACAAACAATCCTAACGAATATTTAGTTTCTTTGACAATTATAACTCTTTCTATTGTGCTGTTGGTCGGTTTTCACAACTTCTTCACACTTCCAAGTATCTTATTATATAAAAAATATGTTAAATTTACGGTACAACACTAATCAGCTTGGTATAAATGAATCAATTAATTAAGTTCTTTCCATTAATTACCCTTAGAATCTTTTCTTCGCCACTATTGGTCTGCAAAGATGTTTTTCCCAATATAACAATGAAAATTTCAGGACTGAAACTAACGTTGCCATTGTACGTACATCTTGCAGCTGAAAAAGAAACAAAAATAATTACACATAACTATATTATTAGCAGGGAAGACTTGATTGCTCGTTTGTTTAAGGTCCGAAACTTCCCGACGAAAACCCGATTTTATTTCAGTCGCTGCTGGACAAACGATACACTTTTTTCTTATTGCTTCCATGCGATCTTTATGTTAAACTCACATTGATATTCATTGACCGTGGTGGTAGAAGAAAAGAATTTTAAATGTATGTTACAATATCAACATCATTATAAAAAAAACTCAGTTCGTCTTACAATAAATATAAATTAAAAAATAAATGAAATATATATTTGGGATCAGAGCAAGGCCCAAAGACGTAGCGACACGCAATGTGGACTAGATAAAAGTAATAAAATCGTAATAATTATACCTAATATATTATATATTTGTTAAACTTTAATGACTCTTAATGTAATTTACATATACTGCACACTAAAATTAAAAAGATTATTATCATAAAATCAAACCATTACCTTGGGCGTAGAATAATTATATCTCATATTGCCCAATAAATCAATGAACGACTTCTTTTGAATAGCCAACCATAAAAAGTAACTTTAGCCTAAAAGTTTTTCCGATAAATACTTTTATTCGGAAAATGGGAATTTCGCCATATAAAAGTAGAAAAACCCGATTCGTTTTACGGAAAAAGTTAATTAATTACGAACGTTCCAAAGTGACTTTTGTGATGAACAAAGTGGACAGTTTAATCCTAAATTAGATTGATAAGTTATCATAATATCTCCACTGGGTGTTCTACTAATATAATTTTGTGTATATTAATACACGCAATTATATTAAGGTGTGTACATCTTAACCGTACTCTTTGCTTTCGTTTCGGTACTTACCTTTGTACTTAAACTTCGGTACAGATTCTACCATAGATAAATAAACTATTTGTTTATAGTTATACATTTCAAACTTTTTTTAACTTATTTTAAGATGTTACCAGGTTGAAACCATTACCCGACGGATATAAGGCAACTTTAGGCGACCAATGGTTTAAATCAAATACTACATAACTTTAGTTCCCGGTTTATAATAAGACGGTTTATGTCTATGATTTATATGTCACATAAATTATAGACAAGACTTGAGCAGAATTCTGTGATTCGAGTCACTCGAGCCAATTAACTACCTCACTCGAGTAAAAAAATGACAAATGTGCTACTCGAGTGAGATGTCTCATACGAATTTTAAACAAATACATTATTAAAATATAATAACATTAAAAGAGTTTGACATATTATTTATCTAAGTAATTAAAAAATTAAGTACCTTCTTTCCGCTCTGTTGCGAAACAACAAATTTGACCAACAAAGCACTATTTGTAAAATTATATTTTTACAATTAAATATTTGGAAAGTCAAACATTGACGTCGAGTTCGATCCAATTACATAACAAAAATATTTAAATACTTTTAAAATATTTAAATAATTAAAAAGCAATTTTATACTTCAGCCATAACAGCGAAATCCCGATAAATATTTATCAAGCGACATTTCAACACAATTCCTTTGAAATATCCAAAATATGCTTAAAGTATGAAGATCTAAAGAAAATAATTAATGAAAAATACTTTTCTTTTGAAGACCATATTTTTTGATGAACTCTGAAGGCTTTATGACAGGAGCTTCGAGCTCAACGTAACTCTGTGTATGGAATCCTAAAGGAACTTATCTCAGATTATTAAAAAAGTTGCCGAAGGCGAATCAAACTTGGTAGATGAAGTTGTAAGTAACGTAATGGAAAATACGTCAAGTGTGAGTCGGGACTAATAAAGGATTTTAGATTTATTTCTTCGTGTGAATAATAATAAAATAACAATATATCCATTTGCCGTAATTTATATGAGATTATAAAAGTATCATTATTATATGTATATTGCTATGTTGCGATCGGGTTAACAACTGTGCTTAGTTTAAAGAGTAATGTATGACACCTCTTAGCCAAATGTTACGCTTGTTAAAAATACAATCATTTCAAGAAAATAATACAAAATTTTATTTTTATGGATCCTTTATAGACAAATTAGACAATGCGTTATTCCATCATGAGACTGTGAATATTATCTTGGACCAAAGTACTTGTCAATACAAATCAAACGAGCCCTAATCCGATAGATTTGCTTCGTGCACACTACTACTATTTGACATGTGAAAATGACCGCGATCGCCACATTTATTGAAAGATATTGAGTCAATGATATCGTTAATTTGACGTTAACTGGAATTTTCTAAAGCAAACGTTAAATTACTTTAAGAGAAAGCTACGAAGTTTTTATTACAAGTATGATTGAATGAATCATTCAAATCATCCTTCGTTCCGAAACCGATTGCGACTTTAAGTAATATATAGATTAAATACGGTCACAGTCTCTGCCTTTAAATGAACGTCTGCTCGTCTGCCCCCTATCCCATAAAAAAAAAGAAAACAAAAAAAATATTGACAATTGAGGCCTTAGCTCCATACCATATTAACTTTGCGTTGTCATCTATGTCTATGTTATATATGCATGCAAAAATCCAGCTCAATTGAAAAGCGGGAAGTGGGTCTTCAACTTCCAAGACTTGACCCACACTAACATAGCAACTTCTTTAAAAGTTGTATAAAAAAATATAACGATTATTCGTAAAAATTACTTTTAGATTAGAAAGCTGATATTATTTATTGTTGATGTTTTTCCTGGAAGAAAATCAGCAGAACTAAATATTTTACATTTTTCTGTAAATGTAACATAGGGCCGAAGCAGACACTTCTTGTTTAATGAATTCAAGGAATTCAAGGCAAGGATCCAGGGGGTGTTGCTGGCACAAGTAACATTTTATGACATTAAGAAAAAGAATAATATTTTCATTACACAGTTGTTTTTATCTATGTTCTGTATTGTCAGTGTTATATATTTCTATCTGATTTTTCATAACAAAATCATACTAAAGCAATAATCTAAAGTCCACCGAAGAATCGTACAGGGGGGGAACAGTGTCAGGGAGGTGCCAAAATCAGAAGAGCGCAATATCAAGTTTCTGCCCCGGTTAGAAAAAGTAGTAGATCTAGGCCTGCCAGGGCCGGATCTAGGGGGAGCAAGTGGAGGCACTTGCCTCGGACGCCAGTGTCAGGGGGTCGCCAAAATCAGAAGAAGGACGCAATATGAAGTTTCTATCCTGGTTAGAAAAAATCGTCGATTCGTTCTTGAATAGCTTATTTGGTATTGGTCGATGACGTATGTAATAGGCTAATTGATAATATTTTTTTAATTTAGTAATAAATAATTCAGTAACAGTTCATTCGATCCCAGATATTAGATAAAGTAACAATATGTTTGCGATTAATAGTTCCAGAGATACGGTGCTATATTTGTGGCACTGCTGCTAGACGGCCGAAAACGCTACCTACAACAGTGCTACGGTAGCGAAAAACGTATGGGCGGCGTCTGGGCAATATTTGTTATATCTTTGTTATTTGTATGTTTATCTTTATAGCTGTTATAATGAAAAATGTTACGTTTTATGTAACGAATTGAATGCCATATATATTTAAGCAAATACATATATAACTTTTTCAAGTTTTCAAATCGTAATATTTTCCAAGTAAGTGCCATAAAATTTATTTTGTTAAAAATTACACACACAGCCCTATTTTTACTCGAAATGAGTACATTTTACATACTACAAACTTTGTTTACAATCAATTCAGAACTCATTTAGCTTACATATTAATAAAAATTAACATTCATTTATGTCCAACACATAACAGGGTATTTTCAGACGATGTTTTGGAACCCTAAAACGTATTACAAAAAAGTATCGAGACGGCAAAAGACTATTAAAAAAGCTTTAATCTACGAGTAACAAGAATAAATAGAAAGAAATATCTTTTCTTTTGAAATTACATTAATAACCATATACCTACTAAAGGTTAACATACTTTAATTAATTTATTATTCAATGAAAGTGTACTGTTTTCGTAAAGCTTAGTTTAATTTCACCAGGGATTTTATATGCCGCTGCCTTCTTATTCATATCCCCCAAATACGCGTATTGAAACTTTTTTTTCAATCGTAATCGAATCGAAAATGTATCATCATTTCTGAGATTTGATTCCCGGTCTGGTCAATGTAAAGAAATATAATAATATGGCAAGCCGATTATATCGGCTCTCGTATAATAATATCAACAGACGAAGATCATATAATATTTAAGTAAGGCTTATCGATTCCAATCTCTTTATAGTAAAATTCAGTAACTCGAATTAAGATTACAGTGTAAACAACCATGTGGTTGTTTATGTAGACAACCACATGGTTGTTTACCACATGGTTGTCAACCATGTAGATTTGGGTATTGACGGTGTTTTAAACACCAACAATACCCAAATCTACGACGGAAAAACAAAAGCGGTTAATCCGAAGCGGAACCAAATTAGAAGTGTATTACAAAAACCATCAATAAATAAACTATATTTTTAATGACCCGGTTAAAATAGTTTTATAGACCTTTTAAATAAATGTATACGACGTGAAAATGATAACAATAATAAACTTTAAAAAAAAATGACGCATGTAATTTTACCGATTCGAAAAATTAAACCGGTTCCTAAGCCTAGGAGCGTTTGTACTGCAAGAAAAGTTTTCTCCTGACTTTAATCGTAATAGTTTGTCTGTCACATATTAAAAAATGTATATCTTTGAATATTATGAAGTCAGATTATACTTATATATATTACTTACTACCCTACTAATCAAACAATGAAATATAGAAATAATATGAAACTTACCAGTCAGTACTAACTTGTTTGATATTAAAGCGCCATCACAGAAGTAATCAAACTGATTTCCTTTGGATTCGTTCTTTACAAAGATGGTTGCCACCCACGGGAACACAGCATCCGATACCACCATCTTATCCCCGTTACAGCTCTCTACGGTCTGTAAAAAGAATCAAAATACAGTAAACACGACTTATCTATTATATGCTATGCTCTCTTTTTTTTTATAATCGGAAAATCGGTAAATACCTGTATTTCTCCGACCTACTTTGTTTAACCGTTACAATGACAATCTTTTATTTATAAAATTAATATTTTGTGCATGTAGGGTATAACATTTTATAAGGCGTTCGACAAATATACATACGGAAAAATCTGTGTAAATAATAAAATATACTGAGCTAATATGAACTGTTTATTACTTAAATAACTAAGACATATCTACAAACAGACGTTACGTTATCAAACTGACAATACCACTGCGGAAATCAAACTCACAACTCTAAGCAATTAACTGTGGTTAACCCTCCGATCATCAAGTATTAACATAAGTAACCCCTTCATTATCAACAAATATATCCGTACACTTAAAGGATGGATTCACATATGAAGATTTCCGTCACTGGTCTACTTGAGTCTTTACTCTTTAAAGGACAAATTAAATGAATTGTGTTTGTTTTGATATAAATGGTGTTTTATTACCAATCAAAATCTCAATTCCATAATTTACAGCTTTTATTAAAGATTCAAGATTTTAAAAAACATATTAATGATAATTATTAAAAAAGAAGTGATTATTTATTCTAATATCTTTACGCCAGACACTTTAAGCTGCGGTTACATGTAGCTCTGGCATATGGCATTGATCGGCTTCATATATTTAGCATGGGAATACTACAACTATTTGGCACCATCCTCTCAGTGTCCAACAAACGTATACCGGTGGCGCCTCGTAGCGCGGGAATTTTTACTTTTTATAATATGAAATACAAAAGTTGCATCCAAACTCTTTTTTTATATTCTCCAGTTTTTATGACTTCTGACATCACGAAAAAAATTTTCACTAACAATATGATTATGATAGTTGTGTCTTCTTCCCCTACTTTTACGCCTTTATTTTTTCTAGCACGATTCTATCAGCTTTTACATTATTCAGATTATCGTTCTTATCTCTTCATTACCGATTGTGTCTGCGAGTATTATACCTACAGCAAATTCTACGTGACGCCCACATCATTTTTATAAAACCGTTCCCTTGTTTTAGATAAATTCTTTTGATAGACCCGAATTCGATTTATTCTTAGCTTTCAGTTTTCTAAAAATGTGATAGAACCTTATTAAAATTAGTTTTCTCAAAACTATAAATATAACTTCACTCCATTTCTAGGAGTACGTGCTTTATAATTCATTCAGATACATGGTAGGCAGTCGCTTAGATAATTTTGATACAAAACTATGTACTATGCGATACTATTTTAAATTTTAATTGAACTGAAGCCATTTATTTATGTTATGTCGCCACTTTAACGTCCATACTTACGTTACGTAATTACGTCACATTCGAGAATCGAACAATACGTTATGCATATAAATCACTAGCTTTCCGCCAGCGGTTTTGCCCGCGTGATCCCTAGGGAACTGTTTGATTGGGTATCGATTGCTATTATCATAGTATAGTTTTTCATATATATCTTGGTATCTTAAACCGTTTTCGCAGTGCACGCAATGGAAGCCCTCAAGGATAAATAATTTTCCGCGTTTTTTCCACACTTTTCATTATTTCTTCGCTCCTAATAGTTGCAGCGTGATGTTATATAGCCTAAAGCCTTCCTCGATAAATGGTCTATTCAACACAAAAATAATTTTTCAATTCGAACCAGTAGTTCCTGAGATTAGCGCGTTCAAACAAACAAACAAACTCTTCAGCTTTATAATATTAGTATAGATTTCTGTTCCTTTCTGTACAAAACGTATACCAAATAGTTGATTATCACTACACAGGAAAAATGTAATCAGCACACAAAATATAACAAAATTTTCCTGTACAAGAGAGCGGCATAGTACTTCTTGACATTAATATTTTCATTCGCGATTTTCAAATACGTCTATTTCCTGAACAAGCCAAATTCATTTTTCAAAAAATTTACCGACGTCAAAGTAAGAAAACATACGTATCTCACGCGACTTTATTATTCAGGAAACTGCTATTGAAGACGGGCGGAGGTTTTCTGAAGATTATTTATTAATTAAAAAATAACCACCCGGCCTCAACAGCAGTTTCTGAAACAATTAAGTAAATTATGTATTTCTGTTAAAGCAATAACAACAAATACTAAAAACATAAATATTTAAGGGGACTTCATACAATAAACGTGATTTTATACTCATATCCGGTACGGAACCCTACGTACACGAGGCCGACTCGCACTTACTATTTTTAAGTACCTATTGAAAAGTATTTTAATACTCGTAGTTTAGTGAAACATTTGTAATTGAAATTTTTACAAAAGGTATAAGCGCACGATGCGAGGGACCGGAAAACCGAAATAATAAATGTTGATACGAATTTAATAAATATTAATGTTGATAAACATATAAAAACAAAAATTTTAATACTAAGAAGTTTTATATAAAAAGGAACGACAAGAGATCCTAATATACATTTTTAATATTTATGAAACAATATAAAACTCTCTTATTTTCTCTTCTTCCTGTTATTATTTCTTATTTAAATACGTTTCGATATTAGTCAATAATAATACTAATGTTCGTGTAAAGAAAGTTAATGTGTTAATGTAAATAGTGATTCATAAATCATAACTTTTTTATTTTATAAAATTAATATTATACAATTACCGGATTATTCGTTCAGAGCATCCATTTATATTGTAAAGTTATTTCAATGAGTAGCAGCCCTTATGTACTTTATATAAGCCCGAATAATCAATGTGTACCATAATTAGCTGACAGGGCTTAACAATCTCCATCACAGCGCTGTAATCATTGCCATTAAAATTTATTTACGACCATCAACGATACGGAAATGTTAGCGTTTATTTTTTTTATTTCTACACCCCTTATGAAGCTGTTATTATGAGTTATAGGTGTACTGGACCTTTAATTTGTGTAACTTGTACCGTAATTTCATATTTTGTAAAACCTCATGATTTAGTCATTTTAATGTTTAAGTAAATAAAGTTTATTTTATTAGAAAATAAATAGGTATATTGCTTTGATCTCCTTGCTGGAGATTGAGAAATGGCATATATTTTGCAAGATAAAATCACACCGGTACTTGATATAGTACAAGATCCCACTGCAAAATCACTACGTTCATCACGTAGTTAGTCAAACACACATTTTTACATACTTTTATGAATAGGAGAATACATTGATAACGATCTGCCAGTCAATAAGTGGCCGCAAGTTATTTTAATTAAATTAATGTTAATTAACCCTTAACATCACTCGTGGGGGACCTAGGTCCCCCAGTGCTCTGTTTTTTGCGAATTATACAAATATTTTGAACGCGACGCGGTGGCGGTTTCGAGTATTCCTAGTGACTCCTGAAAGCTGTCGGGGTGCAGACGTGCGTCGTGCTAGCGTTGGAAGTTTGAGAGGTACGTTTTTTTGCGGGATCTAGGTCCCCCACGAGTGTAGTTACGTAAGTATTTTATGTTGATAATAATCTTTTTTATCTAAATTTTTTTTAGGTTTGTGGTGCAGTATGAGTAAGAATTTAAATGCCCAGCAGATAGAAAGGCTGCTAAATGACGTCAGTATAACTCTAGTGTCTTCAATGCACTAAACCAAAACAAAAAAACTCGATTAGTACAATTCTTCCAAAGGTGGCGTAGATGCTTTAGACCAGAAGTGTGCTGCTTACTCTGAGAACCGGAGAAGTAAAGGATGGCTGACCACAATTTTTTCCTTAGTATTGAATATTTCCGGAGTAAACAGTCATGTCCTTTACAGCGCATCTAATCCTCAGAATCATTACAACTTTTTAGAAGAACTTGGATATACTTTAGTAACTCCTCATGTTCTGGAAAGAAGAAGAGGCTCTTCTAACCTTTCGAGGGAGCTGAAAGATATGATAGACAGGTTTCTACGCGAGGTTGGTGTTGACATACCTGAAGATCAACCAAAACAAGGCTCGAGCCAAAGCAAGAGGCCAAAAAATCGAGGTGTGATTTGTGTCCACGAAGCAAAGACAGTAATACTCCAAGGGTGTGTTCCAAATGTATGAAAAATGTTTGTCGGAACCACTCTGTTGATGTAAAAATATGTACTAAATGTGATTCATAAGTTTTAAGTACATTATAATTATATTTTTTAGACTAATTTAATGAGACTGATAATATCTTAACATATTAAGGTAAAAAATTTATTAGTCAACTAAGTCAAACATTCTCCTTGTGATTTTGCATGTTTTAAAATTTATTCAAGAGTTTATGTCTGTTTTGGTTAATAAGTGATGTAGGTTATTAGAAAAACAGTTTTTTTTTCCAAAAGTATTTTTTTTAATGCGTCTGTGAAATAGACCCCATGAATGTGACGAGATTTTTCGTAGTTTTTTTATTTCACACTAGGAATATTAATTATGATTATGAAAACCTAAATAAAAGTGTTTATTTTAATAGATTATATGTTTTTTTATTTATGTTATAAATATTAATCCTAAAATATCCTATATGTATTACTTCAATAATAACCACAAACGGTGGGGACTTAACTCCCCCACGAGTGTACATATGTAGGCTGAAAATAACGAGTGGTGTTAAGGGTTAACTTTCCAAAACAAAATGGAATGGCCGACATCAGGCCTCTGTGCGAGTGGACAGTTGTATTGCCATGATACTCGTGGGATCAAGATGGAGAATTCTAAGACAAAAATAAAACCCAAAACCATAGACGAGGGGAGGCACTGCCCGGGCGGAAGCGAGCGAGAGGTTGTTCGTGACGGGAAGGGGCGTTTTGCCAGGAAGAAGTCGGAGAAAAGGGAGAGTGGGCCCAGCTCGGGCGTAAGAGAGCAGAGTCGGAGTCCGAATCGTGCGGACAAGGCGAGCAGTTCGAACGGAGCAAGTGACAGCAGTAATACAAGCAAAAAGTCGGTTATTGAGACGACGACTGCTAAGGAGACGACCAGTGAAGTCATAC